ATATTATCTTTGTACATTTCTGTTAATGTTGAAATATACATATGAATATTATATCTATGAATAAGTGTAAAAAATCTATTCTAATTCAAAATTTTATTCATATTTCACTAACTAAGAATTATATTAGATAAGTTCGTCTCTCTTGCCTTGATATTTTAACTCATCCAAACTCTAACTCGAGTCATTTTGTACTTTATTTTCTCCATTGATTTAACTTATTTTAGACTCAATTCTCTTAATTTAATATTTCAGCCTGTCAACCAAACACTTCATCTCATACAGTTTGCCGACCCCTGATTCGATCAACATGGATCATGATCATCAAGTCAAGGTCATATTAATGTAATACACTTTCAGCTACGTTTTCTTCTCCAGTTCTACGTATTTCCAGACTATTTATTTCTAAATTTCCAGCCTATAAGAAACAATAAAGCATAAATTATTAAAGATTCTATAAAAATTTATTTGAAAGAGAGATATTTGATCTGAAGAAAAATATAGATAAAATGATCTGGTTGCTTGCCTCTTGTTGAGATTCTTTGTCAGATATTTTTAACAATTTTCGTATAAACGGTGCTAGTAACATTGGATCTAATTTTTCAATATTTTCAGATGAAATGAGACTCACAACAAGACCGATAGTCATTGTTACTAATGCACCAGTTACGGTATACCAAAGATAACTGAGACGGTACAATGCTAAAGGTTCTCTAAAAGTATCAATATGATTAATGTATGATTACTAAAAGGTAAACAAATATAATAAATTTTTTCTTTCTATATATATAATAATTACGGAAGAAATTCGTCACTATCCAAAATCGTATCTGGAGGCTCGAGTAACATTAAATTTTCCACTTGAGGAAACGAGTAATAGCATCCTTCTGTGCTGACTGGTTTCTCGTCAAATCTGCCGAAATGTTTTACATTGTGCAACATCATAAATCATTATAGAGATTTTAAAATCATTTTCTATTCTCACTTTATTCTTCCACTAGCGATCGCTGCTTCAGCCGAAAGGCTAATCCATCCCATAAAACCCAAACCAGAAATACCACCTATTAGAGCACCCTATATTTTATACAAAATCATAATATTATTATATACATTGTTATTTCATCATTTTTATATTATATTTTAACGTACCTTAGCATTTACCCATGGCAACAAAACACCCATGCTGAAAATTCCAAGAGACGGGCCGCTAGTAATGGAGGCTAAATTCGTGGACAGCTGAAACATATATATTTTATTTGGAATAAAAATCCTTTTAAACTAAATTCTTCTATGTTATACCTGCAATACATGAGATCCTGTTTTCTCAACGACAAATACAAGGGCTACGCAAGTTACTCCAAGGATAACTACCGTTAGTTTTAATAAAATATCCGCGGCTTTCGAAGAAAAAGGCGTTTTTCTGAAAGGTTTTATAAAATCTTCCAATACTACCGCAGCCATCGAATTCAAACCGGTAGATAAAGAACTAAAATGTTATAGAAATCGTTTAATTTTGATCATTTTTTAAACAAGTATGAATATAAAAAATAAGAAAAATTACCTCAATGCTGCGCTAAATACTCCGGCGACAAAAAGACCCGGAAGACCCGGGAATTCATTTAATATATTCATAACAAGTAATGGTAACAATTGATCTTTCGCGCCTGCTAACTATGTAAAAAAAAAATATATATATATATATATATATGTATTTCATTTTCTTAAAATTTTTTTTAATGTTAAAAATACAGTATTATTTGAAAAAAATTTTAAATATATATATCTGCAGTATGTAAAATATGAAATGTTAGATGTACAAATGACATAATATTGGATATGAAATCTTTCTATTAGTTGCAGTTCATGATATATCATGAAATTAGGCTATCAGGGAAGTGTAATCATTACCTTTGTAGTAAGTGGATCGCATACATGGTACCAAGCATATATTAACATTCCTGCATATCCGCATATTCCCATTAAAATCAACACTCCGACTATGAAAATCCAGAGTGCTCTAAAAATAACATTTCATTTCTCAGATTTAATAATTTATTTATATCTTGTGAATAATAAAAGATTAAAATAAATATACCTTCTAGCTGATTTTAATGTAGGTAATGCAAGATATCTTTGAATCATATTTTGATTGATTACGGATATTTGCAACCAATGAAAAAAACCACCAATCACGAGGGACCAGATCGTATGTCTCGTAAGAGGACTCCAATCTGTCCTATTCAAAAATTAGTATAACTTGAAGATTATTAATTCGTCATCATTTATTATTTTAAAACTATGATATCATAATGCTCACGTAGGTAATTCAATTCTTCCAGATTCCAGATTTCTTCTTATTACTAATGATAATCCACCTACATCAGATGTTCCCTTGATGATAATTAGTAACATAGAACCAAACATTATGAAGGTCTGAATAAAATCAGTCCATACTACTGCTCGTAAACCACCCTAATTAGTAAAACGCGAATTATTTTATAATTTTTTGAGTTTGTACTTGTGTTTTTACTTGTGGTACTTATAATATTATATCTTACCACACAAGTATAAAAAATGCACACAATACACACGAATGGAGTAACTACGTGTACATTTACTCCGGTAACTGTAAATATATTATTTTATACGTTAGTTCCATGTGATTTGCTTTATTAAAAATTATTCGATGTGCATTTGATACCTTGATTAAAAGCCAACGCTGGTACATAAATAACGATAGGAAGCCATGTCATCTAGAAGAATAATTTATCTTTTTTTTATCGGAATTTTGAATAAATTAGTTGGAATAAATGAAATAAAAATTAATTCTTTAAAGAAACTCACGATGCCAATTAAGAAAAGTACTGATCCTAATGTTCTGATCTTTCTATCAAATCGTCTTTCGAGATATTCATAGGTGCTTGTGAGTTTGAGCTCGTGAAAAATTGGTAAATAGATTCCTGACGTTACAATACCAACGATGATAACTCCGAAACCGACACAGAGATAACTAATACCATGTACATATACTTCCGTCGGTGTACCCAATAATGAAATACCTATTGTTAAATTTTTATAAAAAGTTTATTGTTACGAATAATTGTGATTATTTAGGGATAAGTATTTCCTACCCGATATGAAACTTGCTATAAGACTCAAACTAACAGGAAATGTTTTCATATTTCTGCCACCCACAAGATATTCGTCTACTCCTGATGATTTCTTAATGAAACCGAAGTAAATGCCGACAAAACCACAAGCGATCAACATAAACCCAAAAACTCCATAATCCCATAAGCCAAAACTTCGCATCATTTCACCAACTTCCTGCACTGTTGGCATATCCTGCGACCAGTTTGGTTGACGATCCTCCATACTACCCTCCGCAGTCATTTTGTTGCAAAATGGAATTTTGTGGTTGTTTCAAACGCCTTTAGGCGTTTTGAATTAGAAGGTAAATCCTTTTGAGAATTAATTGATATTTTTTTTAAAAATACGAAAATACGAATGAATAAAAAAGCATCAGAGCACGAACATTTTTTATTTTATTTTATTTTTATAATATGATTGAAAATAGTGCTTACCTTAATTTTTATACTTGCTAATTTTTCAGTTCATTAAAACTATTGGAAAAAAAAACTATATATCTACGAGCTTTTGTTATTTCGAATCTGGTACATTTGCAAGTAACAAAATTTATATAAAGATAAATGTTTTGTAAATATATAATTTACACGCGCGATATAACACTCAAGAAAAATATAATTTTACATTGAATTGAATGAGAAATTATTTCAGATATATAACACGCTACTTGATGTATAATATATAGTGTGGCAGGTTGTAATGGATATTACGGAAGACCGGCTACAACTAGCATGACAGTTCATCTGAAAAGAGCCAGAAGCTCGAGCGGCTCGATACGATTGCACACATCACGATTGTGCCATTGTGACAATTTTCTCATTAAACTGACAATGGACATTAAGTACGAAGTTAAAACGACCGGGTATATACCAGAGTGAATCCTAAGTGGATAATACGACCTAAATATGGTAGTAGTTGTATAGATGTGTTTGATCACATTGACGGTCGCGTTTCAACCAAGTTCCTGGATGATTTTCGGGTGTCAAAGAATTATTTATTAATAGCTATTCAAAAGTACTATTGCTGTTAATATGATATTTCTTAATAATCTATTTAGAACATATACATAAAATATTAGGATGAACTACAATTGTAAAAAAATAAAAGTAAAAATTTTTTATTTCATTTTAATTCAAAAACAAGATACGATTGACATAAGATTTTAAAAAATAAAGAATATAATTGGAGTAAATAATCTGTTTAAATCTAGTTTCATAATTTTTATCCCTCATAAAATCGTGGTAATTCATTACCCAATATAACTTTTCTTTCAATTCCTTTGTTCGTAATAACGCCAATTCGAATAACACCACCACTGCTACCATCGCGAGACATTGCCAATGCCAATGCTGTAAAGATAAAATCGTGTTATATTAAATATTGAATAATCATATTATGTCAATCAAACATTGTTAAACACTTACTATTTTCAACAAGTTTAACACATTCATTTTTTGACATGTTTGGTTTATATTGTGAATCCATATAGCCATATACATAGGTTGAACCAGATCCTCCAATAGAAATTGGTTGTCTTACACACATGCCACCTATGGGTACACTATAAACTTGACCTCCTTTACGACTATCCCATCCTGCCACTAAAATTCCTGCCATTAAGGAATCTCTATAATTGTAACATAATTCACGGAATACATTTGCTGCTGTTTCCACCAAAGGTTCTATGCCTAATTCCATTCTATAAAAAATAAAGTACAAATAGTAAGATGAATTTATGATAATAATTTCTTTCTTATGATAATATTTTTTAAATTTAATTATATATAATTTTTATACATACATTTATCATAAATTTAAATAAATTCTACTTACTTGTGAAGGCTTAAATGATAAGCAACAATATCAGAAATAGCTTGAGTGTCTGCTGCAGAGCCAGAACGGCAGCAATAAATATAATCTGTGATTTTAGTTAATTTATCAGCAAAACGATTTGAAATATAAGCCCTAAAATAATTAATATTATCATTAATTATTATTATGTTATTAATATTATTAAGAAAATAATTTTAAATTATATATGTCATACCCAGTGGTAGCTCTAGAATCTGCTCCAATTACTACTCCTCCATCAAATTCACAAGCCATGATTGATGTCTAATTAATAAAATAATTTTAAAAAGCATTATTTATTTATTTAAGAAAATATTACATTATATTTTGTATTAAAATATGTAAAAATATAAAAATTTTTTTAAAGAACATAAAATTTGTGTTAAATGTGAAAAAAGAAAAAGAAAAAATTACTAAAATTACGAATGATTAATTAAAGATTATATATAAGATATGTACACATAAAAAAAATAAAATAATATTTAATTTTATTTTAAATTTTTATTAACGATACGATATAAGTTTGCATTGTCATTCTAACCTTAAAACATATTAATATCTAATGTATTAAACTTACTCCTGTACTTTGTTCAGAAGAAACCCAATCTTGAACTAAATTATCAGTAACTGAACCTATGTGAGATTGAACGAAATTATCCACCATTTGTGCCATTTTTCTAAAATTCTAATAAATAATTTCTTCACTTGACTTTTCAATGAAAAGTGATTGAAAGCTACTTTGTGACTACAGTGTGTCCATCTATAAAAATCAAAAAATGATATTCGCTTTGGAACATAATTAAAGTAATATCAAGTAAATAATTTTTAATTGTAACAAAACAATAGTTATTATAATTAATTTTTATGTAAAAAATAATTTTTTATAATTTTTATATTTTAATAAATTTTTAAAACAGATATGTAAATATTAATGATTAAATAAATTTTTTTCTAAATAAAAAATTACATTGATTTATTTATATTTTAACATTAATTCACTCGTACAAATATTATACAATTAATAAAGTAAAACACGTTTCAATTTTGTCAATATGTAACTGTAACTGTACAAAATGATAATATATAAATATTATTATTTCAGAATTGTATCTTCTGAACACTGACTAGTCTAGATCAGTCAAGCATGTCATACAGCGTATTTTACATATATCTTTGTAGAACGGAAAATATTTTATTATTTCAGAATTAAAATATTTAATGTAACTTATATTTATTGTAAAATATTATTGAAAAAAAATAATAGTACGAAAATTACGTTATCTAAGATTTACCGGGAAATTAGGAAAAAAAAGTATATACTCTTGTTGATTACATGACTCTTGCAACTTTCTCAGGTATCTACAATCTACAATTTTCTCGAAGAGTGCGTTACATTGAGTGCAACGTTCTCATGTAACACTTGACTCGTGTTATACTTGATTTATTAGTAGTGCATTTATAGTGCTTCGGGCTTCAGGTTAACAATAAGAATGACATATATCATGCAAAAGACTTGTAATAACAATCGGACAAAAAGTGTTGATTGTGATCGTGGGTAGCAGCCGGTAAAGAAATGGCAATTTCTAGTTGGATGATTTGGGGTAGGAGTCTTCGTACGAGCAGATCTCATCGAAGTATGTTGAACATTGGCTGTCAATTTCTTATTTTAAAACTACATCGTTTTCTATTTATGTATTCTTTTTATAGGCCGTCAAGAGAGTGAAGACAGTTGCGTGCAACTCGATCTGTCAAGAGGTTAGTAACCTAACCTGTAACTTGCAACTTTGTATCTATAGTATTTTTATAACATGATTACCTCGCATAGTTCATAATTATATATGCATTTTTATTTTTAATTTATATCTTGCAAAACAATAAATGTTTCTTTTACGAAATATTTAGAATAAAGCAAAATAAAACAAAAAATATTTAATGAAAGATGTAAAATCATTTAATATTAATGACTATATGCTTTTTAATATAATAAAAAAGTTTTAATTTTATATATATATATATATATATATATATTTATATTTCTAGTATAAATATTTTGAAAATATTTCATTCATTATATATCTAGTTAAAAATTTAATTTATTTCATAGGATTGAAAGAAAATGTGAAGGAAGTTTTAACTAACCTTTGTCAACGTGAAAATGTTCCAAGTGTAAAGAAATTAGCTTATCTTAATGCTATTGTTAAATTAATTAGTGAAAATGATTCTTCAGATTATGGATATTCCATCAGTGATATATTTTGCTGGTAAGAATTTAAAAATAATTTATTACAAATGATAAATAAATATATTATATTGTTATACATTATATAATTTAAGTTATATTGTATATATTGTTATATTATTATATATTATTTATATATTATATATTATATATATTATTTGATTTTATAGTTTACGAGTGGGACTTGTACATGAAGCAACACAAGTTCGTGCAGCTGCATTACGAGCTGTACGATATATGCTCAAAAAAGAACAAGATGTTATTGCAATTAATAAATTGCAATACCCATATTTTGTGGCTAGAAGTATGGATGTTAATTTACGAAATGAAATAGAAAGGATGCAAGCTCTTAGACTTGTTAGAAGGATTTTAGTATTAGCTCCAAAACATTTTAGTCCTATTTTAGCAAGATCTTTAATAAGCCTAACAAATGGAGGAGTTGAAGAAAAGGATGGAGCATTTAGAGCATTTTTAGCAACTCTTTGTGAATTGGGTGTTTTAAATTCAAATTTGTTAATCAGTTGTGGAGGAATTAGTGCCCTTGCAAGAGCTGCCATGACTGGACAAAGCCCTGCTATAATTGAATCTGTTGTAGGAGTTTTACTAAGATTATTAAATACTCCTGATACTAGGAATAGTGTTTCTCTTTTATGTTTTGCAGCTCCTTATTGTGAGCTTCATTCTGCAACTATAGATAGAACAAAAGAAGAACGAGACAGATTTGCAGCAAGCAAATTAGCATTATTAAGTATACTAAGATCTTATTCTGGAGTTTTACATTTTTGTCGACCTGATGATAATTCAGGATTAAAAGCTATATCAGATGTATTGTATGTTGAACAACTTGAAGTAAGAGGTGCTGTTTTAGAATTACTTTATGAGTTGTTGGATTTACCTTTACCTACTTGGACGGATGAACCTGATGTTGCCTTAGCAGCAGTAGATCCTAGCCGAACTCGTGATTCTTGGAAATTGTCAGAAGGTTTTGTTGCAGCTGAAGGAAAATATATTTTACCATCTTTATCATCACGCTGTCCAAATATTACAGAAATACATTTAGCATTATTGGTTTATGCATTATTGGAATGTGGTTTACATCGTGCTTTAGCAGAGACTATTGTTTCCACCGATACTTTTATTTCTGTACGAGCGGCGGTTCTGTTAGGCGCATTATTACATCTTGCACATTCTCTTTTACCCTCTGAAGTATGTGATCTTACTCCTCCTTTACCAAATTTATTGGAACATGCAAGTACTGGAAAACATCAAGCTTTAGCAGCTGTTGCAATTTTGGAACGAATGCATACTATGATGCGACGAAGACCAGCACCCGCAAGTTTATTTCTCGATAAAATTTTACAAGCTGGTACTTGGTTAAGACCAACATTACCAAGACGTCAACGAACATCTAGTAGACATTGGTTACGTCGAGAATCACCAACTACGCCTCTTTTAAAAGATGCTCAAGTACTCAGTTCTAAAGATGCTCTTGCCTGGAATTGGCCGGTAGTACGATCTATATTACGCTCACGTGAAGATACTTCGCGAATACTACATGATTCTGATCATAGATTATTTATGAAAAGACTTGTACGTTACTTTAAACCATGTTCCAATGGTTACAGTAGAGTGGAATTGGCAACAAATGCTAATCTAGCACGAGAAGCAACATTAGCCGGTTGCGATTTATTAAATTGTTTGCTTGAAATTCCGGAACCTGAGAGTACAAAATTATTGTTTGAATTAATTGCAGATGTTGATGAGCAAATTTCTAGTATTCGAACAGCTCAATCTGCTCATGAATGTTTGTTTTCACCTCGTCATATGTCTACTACTTGTTGTCAAAAGTATTTTTTATTTCTTGGGCAATTGAGTCATTCAGCAAAAGGAACTAGAATTCTCAAAGAATTTCAATTATTAGGAAAGCTGCAAGATTTGGCTCTAGCTACTAATCACGATTGTTACGTGAAACTTATAATATCAAGCTTAGATTATTCTAGGGATGGACCTAATAGGAAAGTATTAACTAAGATTATTACAGAAGCAACATTAGATAGTACGCGACTGTATGCTACACAGTTCCTTCGATTGATACTCAGAGCCAGAATGGCTGATGCCTATCGTTGGGCAATAACATTATTATCAGAACGGCTGTCAGATATCAATAAAACTATAGCATTAACTGCATTAGAGGCATTACATGAAGCTTGCGAGGAACCAGAATATTTAGAAGCTTTATTACAACAAGGAGGACAATCTCGTGATTGGGATAAATGGTTGGAAGAATTAGGTGATAAAGGTTACTTGTTAAAAATTCGATTATATTCTCTTCATCAAGGTTTCACAACACTTTCGTCTCCCGCGGAAGAATTGGAAAAATGGATTAGTCCAGGAGGTTTTGCAGAAAGATATGTTGGTTTAATAGAGGGAGAAATACATGATTCTTTAACTCGTCGTCAAAGAAATGAAACAGGAAGTTATCATAGAAGAACAAGTAATGTACCCATGACCCCACATAATATTTTTATTCTACCACATTTAATAGGTCAATTGGCGCAACATGATTTAGGCATGCAATTATTGTTACGTCGAAATGTAATACAACGATTTACTCGAATTGTTCAGCGATTTAGACTGGAATTTGGTAATAGAGATTCAGAATCAAATTCAAGATGTACTAAAACTAATCGTTCTGTGATTGAAGATACTGGTGTTATGTCTGAAGAATCTGGTACAGAGGAGATAGTAGAATCAAATAGATTAGAAACTATAATGGATTCCGAAACTGTAGAAAGTGTGGATATATGTTACCCACAAAAGGTTGATTCTTTGCTCGATATTCGACGAAAGACAAGTTTAGACGATTCTAGACGAACCACTCCAGAAAGAAGTTGGAGATTGGAATCTGAATCTCGAGAAGAACAAGTTTCGAATTTAAATAAAAGAATTTTGAAAGTAAAATCTGCAATATGGGCGCTTGGTCATATGGGAACTTCAACAGCAGGAGCAGAACAATTGAATCATGCCGGAATTATAGAATTATTAACTTCCATAGCAGAAACGTGTTCATATTACGTAATAAGAGCAACAGCTATGTATGCTCTTAGTCTTATTGCCACTACTCGTACAGGCGCAGATGCATTATCAACTTTTGATTGGCCTTGTGTTAGACACAGACGTGGGGATCATTGGCCAGTTGTACCTCCTACGAGCAGATATCCAGCACCAAGTCCAATTCCTATACAACGACACCATCGAAGTCTTAGCGATGGAAAACCAGAGTTACCTGAACCAGTCGCTCGTAGAACTAGAAATCGATCTGAGAGTGCAGCTACGGATCTTGAAGCTAGACGCTATGCTCTACCGTAAGGATGTTTTAGGTAATATTGTATTATTTAAAAATATATTTTATTATATGGATTTACAGAGAAAGAGGAGAGACACCTAGTCCTGTTTCAAGTATTCAAAGATTAAGCCAACAAGATGCTGAAGGATATGCGAGACTTCGTAGTCTTCAGCGT